GAGATCCGAAGGGTAGATTGTTCTTTGCACTTGGCTTTACTGGGGATACTGGTTTCTGTTTCATGGATGCTGTTCTCCAAAAGCACGTATCAGCACGTAAGCCAAAAGTCATCTTTCTCCCAAAAAGCTGGGGTGGCCTAGGAGTGGGTGTTGGGAATGAGGATCAACACACTCCAAGAACTCAAATGACCAACTTCTAGTCAGCCAGCAGCTGCCGAGGAACAGGCCAGAGGGGAAGAAAGGCTTTTCTGGCCTCATTATACATCCTGATAAAGTGTTTATTCCACTGCATTGAATAATGCTGTAATTTAAAGTACGTTTCAGTGGATATTTTCTCAAGCAAAGCTGACCAGTAGCAAAAGCCTCAGCCTTTTCTCCACCTCATTCTCCTGACACAGCACATCAGCCTTGGGCTACGGCAGGAACTGGCTCACACACAAGGTGAGCCGTGAGCCCTGTCACCCACTGCTCCAGCAGAAGCAGCTTTGAGGGCTCCCTCCTAAGTCTCACATCAGGATCTGGCTCCTCAAAGATGACCAGAAGATAGGAAGGAGAAGATAATTCAGCCTCTCCATTCATTCAAATCCTGGGTTTCTCTGTGCATCAGACCAGATGGTCTGGTCCGAGCCCAGCTGTGAGGTTGGCCTGGAAACCCCAGTGTGCAGAGGCCGCTGTGGGCGCGGGATGCCAAGAGATGGCAGGAAGGATGGGATAAGTCTTGGCTTGTAAAAGTCATATTCAACATTGGCTATGCTCTTGGTGATCAGCTGAGTGTTCATCTTCTTCTGTTGCAGGATGATCTGCCTGCGAGGCCCCAGGTACGAGGTCCGGCAGTATGCCTGGGAGAGGGGATGGCACAACGGAAGAGGCAGGGCAATCCTAGTCGCGTGCAGCCTTTTCCAAGTGAACCCAAAATCTAGTTTGGATTTAACATCTTTCATCCTCTGTGAGTCATACACAGAATAAAGCTGGGCAAGAGACATCATTCTCCCTTTCAGCTCTCGTCAACTTACTCCACTTCCAGGACAGGAAATGCTAGAACCATGTTCTAAGAGTGCAGAGCCTTTCTGCTGGGAATCTCTCTGTTGTCTGCAAGGGATTCTGTTATCCCAATATCATGCTCATCCATATCAAAATCCAGCTACAGCTTCCTGTCTTAATTTCTGACAACCAGCAAACACAAAAAAAAAAGACTGTCCTCCAATCACTAGCACCCCAGTCTGCTCTTCTGTATCAGAACTAAGGGAAGTTCCTAAGGGAACTTCCCGAGCAGTGGATAAAACAGTGTATTTCACACACTCCACAGATCTCATTAGTCAGTCATTTAATTACAGGAATTTCTGTGCAGAACACCAAAGTAGCAGAACACTTTAGAAGAACCTTGAAACATGGAAGTTCCATTGCACAGACGGGAAAAGGAAGTTAATGTATTAATTGGTTTCCTCTAGGGAAAAAGAGCACGCCAGAGACAGACAGAATGAGACCCACCTCTCCTCCCTCCCAGCGTGGCATCCCAAGCACTCAGTCACAGAGGGAGGAGGGAGAATTCCCTGCATTTATTCCTCCAGTGGCCAGGCTGGAGGACAGCGGGCTTAGACCCCCCAAGACCAGGGGCTGCCCCAAATCTGTCTCTACTTTTAGCTCTTCCCCACCCTTGGGGCACTGCTGCCGCCCCAGCCCCTGCCTGCCAGTGCTCCAGATGAGGATGCATGCCCTTTTTGTCTCGAATGGCATCGATCGGTGCCAGCAGCTCCTCCCTGGCACTGAAGAGGGTACACTCCAGGGTGGCCCCCAGGCTAGGCAGAGTCTGCAGTAGCAATCTGTCCCTCTAGAAGCCGCAATCCAGAGCAGGGGTGCCCAGTCCATCTACCTCCCTTCTGCCACAGAGGCACAAAGAAAACCCAGCTCCAAAGACCTGGCCACAAGCCTGACGCTCCTCTGGAGAAGTGTGACGCGGGAGAGGCGACAGGAGGATGGTCTCAGAGAAAGACGGAGCCAGGACAGACATGACAACAGGAGGCTTTGAAGTTAACTACTTAACAGTATCAAGCCGAGGAGGGGGCAGCAATGTCACACCACTCACGAGCGATGCCGAGGAGCTGTATATTCTCAGCTCCCTTCAGCACGAAGGAGACACACGTGGCAGCACGCCCGCACACCTAGGAGGCACCGAAGGCCATTGCAGTGCAGAAAAGCAGCAGAGCACAGCTTGGGCAGGATCTGTGTGGCGGGGGAACAGGACACAAACAGGCAGCCCACAGCGTGACCGCGAAGGCTTTCCAGGAGCCAGGTTAGCAGCAGGTGCCCCCAGGCAGACACACACGTTCTAGCCCAAGGGAAAAGGAACAGTGCTGCGGGGCAGTGTTAGCAGCAAGGCTGACACCGGGATATTGCAGGCACAGCACTGCTCCCAGTTATTCTCGCCCTCTCCAAACACTGCTGCGCACGCGTGGCTGCGGGACGGCCGCAGGCAGCCTGTGCCCTCAGCATCGTGGCAGTGCCACTGGCCCCTCACATCCCCTGGGAGGAGGGTAGCAGCTTGGCCACGGGAGACCGTTTAGCTGGTTGAACGACACCAGTGGGATAATCACAGCATGGACACAGTCCATGCAGGTCTGGGAAAGCAGCCTCATGCTGAGAGCCCCTCCAGTCTTGGTGAAGATGGCAGCATCCTTCCTTCCCCAGCTGCACGGAGCCAGGCCTGAAGCCACACAATCCATGAACAGGTAGTGTCTTCAGGGCCTTCTCTGTGAAACCGAAGCTGAAAGCAAGCGAAGCAGAAAGGGGCTGGAAGTGGGAAGCACGTGCCTCACTCCAGGCACAGGTCCCATTGCCGCTCTGAACTTCTGCAAAGGGAGCTTAGCCCCTGTAAGGCTCAGGGTGGCTGCAGTGAAAAATCTTGCCGGTCCCATGCTGCCTTCATCACTGACGGACCACATAAATGGTCAGGAAGCGTTACTCACAAGGCGGATTTCCTTAGCACCTAGGGAAGGGCTCCAAACCCTAATTTAGCCTAAGCACCTTCACAACATTTTCTACGTTAGGGACGGGGAAATGAAGCAGAGGAGCAAGGCAAATCTGTCTCCAGCACTGCACACCCAGGCCAACAGCCAGCCAGGGAAACCCCATGTGCCTGTTCATAATGCTGCACCCAGCCCCACCTCCCACTGTCCCCCGGGACAGTTTGTGCCAGCAAGCGCATGGCCCTCCTCGGCCGCACACAACAAGGCAGGAAGGGGACAAGGCCTCTGGTTTTTACTTCTTGACCCCACTCACTTTCCTGAAGCGCCGTGTCTTCCGCATTTAAAGAAACAAAGTTCTCTGCTTTGCTCCCCACCATTTTGCTTGGATCAAACAGAATGGTCAGACAGAAACAAAGCCAGGCCCCAGCCCCTTCACCCCTGTGCATAAACTATAGCAAAAGAGAAAGGGCAGGAGTTTTGCACCAAAAAAAACAAGGGGCAACCAAAGAAGCATCAGGAAGGTAGAGCTGTTTTGACAAAAAATCCCTCATCCTGGCAGAGGCCTTTCTGCGATTGCACGCAAACAGCCCTGGTAAAGCCATACCCAATCTGTAAGGCTCACACAGCCGACGGCTCAAGCAAAAGCTTAAAAACTACTTCCACTGAAGTTAGTTATGTAATTAAGAGATAAGCCCTCCTAAACTGAAATTTCTTATCACACAGCATCATGCTTTAAATGTCTTGCCATTAGCCTGCCCCACGCTTCCTCATCGCGACAGAAAAACACTTCACACAGAAAGATTAATGTGATGTAAACACATCCTCCAAAGCCGTGACCCATTTCAGCATCCACAGGGTACCACAGACAAGAGGGGACGCTCCTCCGTAACACGAGTCCACAGAAAAGGACTCTGGGTCTGACTTCAGGCACATACGTTGCTTTACACAGACCCTCTCTCTGTCCCAGCACAAACGCATCTCCTCTGCTTATCACGCAGTTTGCACACCACGGAGCCAAACAGCTTACGTTAGGGTGGTTAATGCCCAGCAAAGGTTTGCTGTGAGGGGTGTGCCCACCTCCTATGCATTAAGGCGGTCGGTGCACACGTACAAGAGCAGTTATTTTGCACCTCTGCACACTGGGAAGGTCAGGAAAAAGCAGGGAGAAGTGTACACATTAATGCTGAATGCTTACGATTGGAAGCCAAAGGCCAATTCAGGAATGAAGAGCATGCCAGCAACTTGGCTCTGCTGGGAAAGCCTGGGCTCCCTCAGCCACCATCACCAAGAGCTTGGATACTGCTCTCCCAGGAGCACTGGGATGCTGTGGGAAGCATATGACATTAGCTTGCCTTGTTCATAAAAGGCACTAAAACAGGTCAGCAGATAAACCATGGCATCAGCCACAATGGTACCTCACCAGAGCAACCACCCTCCAGGCCACAGGGCTTTAAGGGGATCAAAAGTGAGGAGCCACGACGTCCTTGCAGTCCTAAAACACCTGTGTAATCAGATACCTGTGCAGCCAAAGCATCTGGAGGAACAGGGGCAGCCTTTTTTCCTGTCCTACAGCAACATGTCTGCTGCTGCCAAGGATGGGGCAGCAGCCCTACCGGTCCCTGCGTCAGCCGGGTACCCCAGCTCCCAGCACCGAACCCTGCTGACACAGTCCTACATCAGCAGCGCGCAGCACCTTGGCTCTAGAAGACCTGAGCAGGACAAAGGTGAACAAACACAAACCAAGGAAATACCACAATAAATACATTTATTTACAAGGCTTCCTCCTGCCCTCCTTGCCACAAAGGGCAGAGAAGGCAGACACATATGTGGAACAGGAGGAAAAAGCCAGTACACCCCAAGAGTGTAAGGACAGTGCCCATCTCTCTAAAGGAAGAGAGAGTAGTCCGCTGCTCTCCCCTCCCCCACCAAGATTTATGGACATGCATGCTAAGTCCCAACAGTCCTTCACTGTCCCAGTCACGACCAAGGAGTTCCCATAGCCCACGCAAACCCACAAGGTTCCCAGCTACCCATCCGTCACTTGGCAGGGGGGTTCTCTCTGGCAGAGGCGCAGGGGATGGCAGGGTCAGCCTCTGGTGAATGCCCCTTGCTTTTCCCAAACGCGATCACCAGCGGCTTCCCCTGCAGATTGTACCCATTCACCAACTGCATGGCGTCCCGGGCCGACTGCGTATCTGCAACGAGAGGGCGAAACGGGCGCAGGCTGCACGGCGAGTTCTGGCACAGCCACGCGCGGCCGTCACGCGCGTTCCCCGCTCACACACCCTCAGCCTGCACCGCGATCCAGCGCGGCACTGGGATGCTCCGGCCAGCACAACGCGCTGAATGTAAACACAGCGCGTAACAGTCTGCATCCCTTCCGTCTTGATGAACCCTTTTCCAGTCCAGGGAAAAAGACTATGATGTGACAGAAGGATGAGGGACTGAACTCCACTCCTTCTCCTTGGAGAGCAGGCTTGGCACCAGCCCAGGGCCCTGCGGGAAGATATGGCACCTTCGTGGACCAGGGAAGAACTGAGAGGCACGAGGCAGCGACTCACCAGGGAAAGTGATGAAAGCCTGACCCCGCATCCGGCCGCTCAGGAGGCGGAACTGGATGGGTGGGCTGTCCTCCTTCTGGAACCGAGCAAACAAGGACACCAGGTCCTTCATCGTCACTCGAGGGCCCAGGTTCTTCAAATACAGCACCTGTTCCAGCGAGACAGAGGGTCAGCTGGCCTGTACCACGCAAACAGACACCTTTCAACCTGGTCCCAAGTACATACACCTCAAAGGAATGAATTAGTTATACCCTCTGCCATCCCAGACTCCTCTTCCCACCTGCATGCTAACAGTGGAGTTTGGAAAACAGGCAGGTGTATGGAGAAAGGCAGCTCTGGACTCACCGCATCATCATGCCTGCTGGTGCCTAGTGCTGACAGCTCTGGTTACTCATGAAACACAATAAGCTCCAGCTACCAGTTAAGCACAGTCTGAGTAACACCACACCTGGTCTCAGATGCAAACAAGGAGAGGACATCTTGACTAGTGACCTGCCAGAGCCAGGAAGAGCTGGTGTCAGAAGTACAGCTCTCTGCCAGGCTGGGTGACTTCCCAATAGACCCAAAGCTCCCCTTCCCTCCCAGAGTGGAGGGTGCTCTCCCTTGGCCAGGAAGCTCAACCAAGCACC